CTATGTAATTTTATGAATAGTGTTCACACTAGAACAAATGGTGAGTACAAACTGGCCATGGTAAGTTGAGGTTGGAGATTAGAATGTGTCTAACCAGAGAGGAGTTAAGGTACTTGAACAGCCTTCTAATAAGAATGAGGGCAAGAAGCTTAACTGGTTTTAAGATGCAGCTTGACAAGTTTGACACGGTTGTCTGCAATAGTGACGTAGGAAGTCCCTTCCTAACCTATGTTGTTCTAAGGTAGTGACTGTCTTGGCAGTCAGTTTTTAGAGGTGGAACAAGTATGTATGTCATGAAAATCATTAGCTCTCTAAGGCTGTGTCCAGACTCAGGGGTTTTTTCGGGAAAAGTAGCCTTTTTCCGAAAAAACTTCCCCTGCGTCCAGACTCAAGCCGCGTTCTTTCGAAATTAAATCGAAAGAACGCGGCTTTTCTTTCGATGGCGGTAAACCTCATTTCACGAGGAAGAACGCCTTCTTTCGAAAGTTCCTCTTTCGAAAGAAGGCGTTCTTCAATGTAAATAGGGCTTCTTCGAAAGAGAGCATCCAGACTCACTGGATGCTTTCTTTCGAAAAAGCAAGCCGCTTTTTCGAAAGTTCAATGTGCAGTCTAGACGCTCTCTTTCGAAAGAGGCTCTTTCGAAAGTATCTTTCGAAAGAGGCTCTTTCGAAAGAGGCTTGCAGTCTAGACATAGCCTAAGATGCATCAGAGTCGTTTTATTTTAAATCAGGGATTTAAATCACTAGTTTTAACTATGATTTAAATCAGCAAGTAAGAAACCTTGATTACATTCATTAGTTTTAATCTTGGTTTGTAGTTCTATTTTATTTTCCAAAAAAGTTAATTCTCATTGATTGGTAACTATTTAAACTTTATTTGTAACTAAATTTGGAACTTCTTGTTTTAACCAGGAGGCTAGATTATATCTATACACATTTTTTGTTTTTCACCAAAAGGTTTAATAGCAATTGGACATGTAACTTAATGAATGTCTGTGAAAACAAGGAAGGGTCCAGTGCTAAAATAAAGAAAGAACATGCTGAAAATTACTTAGACAAGTTAGTTGTTTTCAAGATGTTTACTAGTGAAATACATCCTAAAAACAGAAAAAGCCGATTGAGGAGTTATCTGAGCTATTAACAGTAATATTCAAAATGTCAGGTTAGATGGATGCTCATCTATAAAAAGGGAAATGAAGATGATGCCAGGAATTAGACCAGTTATCTTCAGTACCTGAAAAGATAATGGAGCAAATAATTAAGCAATCAATTTGCAGACACCTAGAAGACAATGGGAAAAGTCACATTCCTCATTGATTTGTCAAGAACAAATCATTTCAAACCAACGTAATAGCTTTCTTTGACAGGGTAATGAGCCTTTTAGAGGAATGGGTAGGGGGGAAGTGATAGAAGTGGTATATTTTGACTTGAGTAAGACTTTTGATACTGTCACATGACCACCTTACAAAACAAACTAAGGAAATACAGCCTAAATGGAACTACAATAAGGTGAATTCACAAATGGTTGAAATACTGTTCCCAAAAAATAGCCTATGAAGAGTGTGAATTCTGGGTCCAGTTGTGTTCAATATCTTCATCAGTGATTTAGATAATGGGATTGAGAGTACATTTATAAAGTTTGTGGACAAAATCAAGATGGAAGGGGTTGCAAATGCTTGATGAGTAGGATTAAAACTCAGAATAATCTGAAAGTCTTGGAGGGGTAGCTGTGTTAGTCTGTAACTTTAAAAAGAAACACTTAAAAATGAGTGGTCCTGTAGCACCTTAAAGACTAGCAAAAAATATAGATAGTATTGTGAGCTTTTGTGGGCACAATCCACTTCTTCAGATGAATGGAGGAAGCTGTTACTGGATTTTTCACGCCATATATTCCACAAGATGATGGACTACTAGCCGTCAGGAACACTGTCCCTGATGACGCCAATGCACACCTGGGTGACTGAGCTTTGTGATTTTATTCTCACCTACAACTATTTTCAGTTTAGGGACAATTTATATCTTCCAAGTCAGCAGCACAGCTAGCAGCACCTGTGCATGACCCACAATACCAATGTCTTTATGGCTGACCTTGAATAACATTTCCTCAGTTCTCGTTCCCTAACACGTGTATTATATGTACACTATATTGACAACATCTTCATCATATGGACCCGCAGAAAGAAGACCCTTGAAGAATTCCAGGAGGAGTTCAACAACTTCCACCCTGCCATCAACATCAGCCTGGACCAGTCCACTCAATGACTCTACAGTACAATTAAATGACGGCCACATTTCCACCACCTTATATTGGAAACCTACCGACTGTTATACTTACCTACATGCCTTTAGCTTCCACCCAGGACACATCACCTGATCAGTTGTTTACAGCCAGGCCTTAAGATACAACCGGATTTGCTCCAATCCCACAGACAGAGACAAAATCCCCACAGGCAGGATTTTAAATTCCCCCCTGAGGAAGTGAAAAAACAGATTGACAGAGCCAGATGAGTCCTCAGGCATCAACTTTTTCAAGCTAGGCCCAACAAACAAAATAACAGAACACTGCTAGTCATCACCTGTAGCCACCAATTTAAACCCCTCCAGTACATCATTAACAATCTACAACCTATTCTGGAATATGATCCTTCACTCTCACAGGCCTTGGCAGACAGGCCAATCCTCACTTACAGACAACCCCCTAACCTTCCCCTCTCCTCTTTTTCTGCTTTATATTTGTCCTTCTGTGCCTCTTGCTCCATTCATCTGAAGAAGTGGGTTGTGCCCAAGAATGCTCATGATACTGTCTACATTTTGTTGCTAGTCTTTAAGGTGCTACAGGACCACTCATTGTTTTTAAGGGTTTTTTCCCCAAAATTATCTGGAGATACTGGAAAAATGGTCTGAAATAAAAATAAAATACAAATGCAAAGTCCTCCTCTTAAGAAGGAACAGTTGAATGACATATATAAATGGGAAATGACTGCCTAGCAACATGTATTGTGGAAAGGGATCTCGGGTTATAATGGATAAGATGAATGAGAATCTACAGTGCAGAAAAAGTCGACTACTGTAGAAAAAGCAAATGTCACTCTGGCATCTGTTAGAAGAGTGTTGTAAGCAAAACACAAGATGCGATCTATTCTACTCTGTACTGATTAAGCCTCCTCTGGAATGTTGTGTTAGTTCTGGACGTCACATTTCAAGAAAGATGTGGACAGATTGGAGTAAGTCCAGAGAAAAGCAACAAACATTATTAAAGCTATAGAAAACGTGGGTTATGAGGGAAGATTGAAAAAAAATGAGATTTTAGTTTGGAGAAGACTGAGGTGGAATATTGATAAATACTCAAAGGTTGTTAAAAGGAGGAAGGAGAAAAATTGTTCTCTTTAACCTTTGAGACTAGGACAAGCACAAATAGGCTTAAATTGTGGCAAGGAATTAAATTTGTTGGACATTAGGAAAAGCTTCCTAACTGTAAGGATATGTCTAGACTTACTTTCACTTTTGAAAGAAGATATGCAAGTTTGGCAGTAATTTGCATATCTTCATCTGATCACTTTTTCAAAAGGTTTTTTTTTTTTTTTTTTTTTTTTTTTTTTTAAGCAAGCAGTTTAGATGTGCTTCTTTTGGGGAAAAAAAAGCAACCCTTTTTTCAAAAGAACCTGTAAACCTTTTTGAGTTTGTTTGTTTGTTTGTTTGTTTGTTTGTTTTTTTTGAAAGAAACATGTCTAAACTGTTTGCTTTTTTGAAAAGAACTCTTTCGAAAAAGCGACTGGAAGAAGATGTGCAAATTACCACCAAATTTGCATATCTTCTTTCGAAAGTGAAAATAAGTCTAGACCTACCCTAAGGATGATTAAGTGCTGGAATAAGTTATCTAGGGAGGTTGTAGAATCTTCATCATTAGAGATTTTGAAGAGCAGTTTAGACAAACATTTGTCAAATATGGTCTAGAAGAGAAGTATTGTACTGATTTATTTCTGGTCACTGTGTCCCTTCAAGATTTTAGAACTAGTAGGGTTCATCTCTGAATTAAAACTGTTTAAGAGGAAGTAGAAGAAAAATTTTTCAACTCCCAGTTGATTTCTCAACTTTGAATAAGTCATTCTACTGGACTAGTTGAAGTGAAATGAACAAAAATATTCTTACTATGTCTACAGGAGATTAGTGCCATCAAAAGATGGTTTAGAACTTCAACAAATTCTGGTTCCAGATACTACGCCACTAACTGCCACCATTTCGCTAGTTTTAAATTTCTTTGCAAATTGCCAGCAAAAAAATCTATGATTTTTATCTGCCCTGACATACATGGATAGTGTTGCAAATATCTGTATGGAAACAATATTTTTACATGTCCTCTAATTTCGCAGGTTTGAGGTACAATTTATTCTCTCAGAGCCAAGAAAGGAATGGACAGGCAAACAAGGAAAAATTTCTTCATCTCTCCTTTCTGAATTTGTGAAAAGAAGCAAAAAAGACTCCAAATTGCTTATTTGTGTCTGCGGCCCAACACCTTTCACCGAACAAGGAATACAGTGAGTGTAAAAAAAAAAAATAAAAAAAAAATCTTGTTTCTGAAGTTAACTGTATATAACTTTATCATCCTTTGTGTATTAGAATATCTAAAATGAACATAGAATTTTCCTTGTATGCAAGCAAAACTATTTTTGCTAGTTTGCATTTTTTAAACTGGATAATTACAAAAGGATATAATACAATCATACCAGAAAAATTTGCTTTTAAAAACGGTTTCCTACTACTAGGTTCCATTCTTTTTATGTAATACAGGTTACAAATTTTTATGGCCATATTTGCTTAAAACTTACAGAAATCGTTCATCCAAATATTAACTACAGCCCAAGTTTCACCAAGTTAACGCTTTCCATCTTATCAAAGTATTGCTTTCTTATTTTTTGTAGCTATGTCACACTTTTTGATAGATAAGTAAGAATTGTGAAGCTTATCACTTTCTCCAAATGGGATTATGTCTGTGATTACATGAATTCATGAAAAGAGCTTTTAAGTAATGCCAATTTCTGATCGTGTCAGCTGAATCAGAATTGAATATGAAGATGCTGTTCTATTAAAATCTTGTAGAGACATTGAAGTGCTTCGTAGTAATTTTATAGCCTTGCTAAAATGGTGGGCCAAATAGCAATGCTGGTTACATCTGTTGAGGTCAGAGCAGTTTCATAGATCTAATAAAATTCAGACTGACCAATATATTTTTTTTTCTTGAAGATTTCGTTGGTAACTAAATCTTAAATACTTCAAGATGTTACTCTTTCTTGTTGTGTTTCTTTTAAAGAACATATAGCATCATATTAAGTATTTTTATGCATTACGTTTGAATTGGGAGTTTGTTTTTAATGTATTTGCATAGCAAGACTGATTTTTAGTAGTTCATCTTATGGAAAATGAGAGATGCTGTTGCTGAACTGCATACTATTTAGCTTTACTGTTCTGCAATTCATGTCACCTTATATGTAAAGTAACATATTTGATTACTGTATTGATTTTCAGGTTTCTGCAGGATCTTGGATATTCCAAAGAAGAGATCCATAGTTTTACTGCATAAAACAAGAGAGGTTATGGCTGTATGATTCATCAATTTTATTTATTTACATCGTTAAATAAGTTTAATTTCTTTAAAAGAAAAATATTTTGTATGCATTAAAATTTGATTGTTGATATCAAAATATTTCTTGAATACTAAATGCATTTGGGGTAAAAAAATTTATACTGTTTTTTCTTGTTTTTGTATTTTTGCTAATACTTACAATTTAGCTAGGATAGTAATTTATTACAGAAGTAGGTATATGTGTACAATACATATTAATGACATTTTAGATATTTAATTTTTTTGTCCTAGAACTCTTTCCTCATAGCTATGCTTTATTACCATTCTAAGCACTGGTTATAGAGATTTTTACTTGAAACACTCATCTTTACTGTAAAGTATCTTATTAGCAAAATTGTCTGAATTTATATATTGCACTATTAACTCAGGTAAATGATTACTTACACTATGTTCTTATAGATATCATAAAACCATGTTTGACTTTTAAGTGATCAAAACATGTTTTTATCCTTGTACATAACATTGAAAAGTGTTTATGTGTGTGTCAAACTCAGTAAAGATGCACTAAGTAATAAAAGGTAAATATTGGATATTTGCTAAAATGTTTATGGTGAGTGGAGTATCACTGTCATATATGGTAGTGAAAGTCAGATGGGGAGGATGGTCCAGTGGGCAGGGTACTAGCCTAGATCTTGAAAGATCTGGATTTAAGTTCATTCTCAAGCTTTCTGTGTGATCTTAGGCAATTCACTTGGGATACGTCTACACAGCAGAGCTAAAGTTGAATTAAGCTACCCAACTTCAGCTACATCAATTGCGTAGCTGAAGTCGAACTAGTTTAATTTGGCTTTGGCACTGTCTACGCTGCAGGAAGTCAAAAGAAAAGCACTCTTCCTTTGACTTCCCTTACTCGTTGTGAAATGAGTTACCATTGATTGGAGTAAAAGTCCTTCAGCTCGACATTATTTCAAAATAAAGTCTTGTGATGTAGGTGCACACAATGTTATTTTGTAATAACATCAGTTATTCCGATAAACACTGTTGTGTAGACATAGCCTTAGCTACAATTCCTCGTCTGTAAAATGAGAATGATAGCATTTCCTTATCTCATTAATAGTATGAGGATAAATAATAGATTGTAAGGTGCTCAAATACTACAGTGATGGGCGATCTAGAAGTACCTTACATTATGACACACATTGCATTTAATCAATGGTTAAGTATTGGATAATATATCCATAATTTACTACAGAATAATATTTGGGAGAGACAGTACAGACAACCAGCAAAACTGTTAACTTGTACCTGGTTTTAAGATTATGTGGGGCTCCAGCTATTGCAAGTAATGTTGCCCATACACAAGCTTGTGTTGTGGCCTTTAGTATTGTTGACATGCTACTTTTACAAATCCGATTGGCTACCTCCTTCAAAAACCGTAACACCTAGCTTGCAGTGGAAGCTTGGTTCAGCACATGTAAAAAGAGTTGGAATGATGGTACCCACTTTTGTCAAAAGCTAAACTGGTATGTGTCAGTAACTGACTATCCCAGATTGAACCGTATGAGACACACAAAAATAAGCTGTCAGTTTGGGTGCATCTAGACTGCAAGTTTTTTTTTTTTTAAACGGCCTTTTTTCCAAAAAAAAAAAAAAAAAATCACTTGCATCCACACTGCTATTGCGTTATTTCAAAGAAAATTGAAAGAATGCTAGTTTTTTTCCGACATAGGTAAACCTCATCCTACAAGGAAGAATGCCTTTTCCGAAAGAGCTCTTTCAGAAATAGGCACATGTGGATGAAGAGGAAGTTTTTGAAAGAAGAGGCCTCCAGGAAAAAGCACAGGTGCCCTGGGGGCCACTCCATCCACAGTAATCACAGCACAAATGTGAAATAGCGTCCATTCAGTGTGGACGCTATCTTTCAAAAGACATACCCTGTGTAGTACTCTTTCTTGAAACAAAAAGGCTATAAGTGGAAATGACTGTGTTCCCTAGCAGAAGATGGATTTCTGGAACATCTTGGTATCTTGTCACTGGAAATTTGTACATTTCTGACCAATGCCACTAGCAGAATGCTTCTGATGTTTTCTAATTATAATCAGTGGTCCTTTGACTATCTTAACAGCTCCTCCATCTAGCTTGACAGCTAGTGTTTGAACTACAGTATAACTTTTAGAAAGATCTTCAATTTTGATTTAGGTCTATTCAACATGCAAAAGTTTTATCTGCATAGCTGCAATTGGCCAGAGGATGTGATAAAGCTAGTCACATGATGTAGCTATGCTGGCACTCTCCCAGTGTAGACACTGCTATGTTGACAGAAGAGTGCTTAGGTCAATGTAGCTAGCTTTTTTGGGGGAGGGTATGGTGTTCCTATACTGATGGAAAAATGCATAATCAGAAGTTTTTATATATATCTATATCTATATATTTTTTATTCTTTGGCTCATGTATTTTAAATCTTGCTGTTTCTTTATATATAGTTGCTTTTTAAAAATGGGTCATTGCTTGATAGAATTACTTATATGTGCAGCAGTGCCTCCTTTATAATCCTTTGAATCCTATACCATCTGCTTTTTCAAATGTTCATCAATTTAGATATTCCAAATGTATTCACCAGAATTTCATGTCTCGAGCTGTTTCATATGTATGAAAGTTTTTGGAATTACTTAAATAAAAAGAGCATCTATCCAGGACTCTACATAACTCCACCATAAACTACAAAAACAAATAAAAATCAGCAGTTGCTAGAACATCGGGCTACCCACCAAATGGTTCTTCTTGGAAGCTTGCCAATTTCTCTTGTTTGCTCCTCCCTCAGACCCACTATGATCACTTCAAGGCTGTCAATTACTTCACAGTCCCCCTTATATTTCTTTTAAATATAATGTATTTTTCTTTATAGAGTTTAATATAGCCAGATTTTTTTTCCTTTTCAAAAATTACAGTATTTCATAAAATAGGTTGTTGGTGGAAGGAATCTAAGTTTCAGAATATACTAAACAAAGAAATACTGTGGGTAAAGTTAAAATACATTTCTTATTGGTATTTATATGCTGAATTCTCTCATTAGCATGTCCTAAGAACATTAGTCCAGCCTATTGAACAATGATAGGATAACAGTAGGCAAGGTTTCATTAAATGTTGGTGTATGAGGCATAGTTAAGAAATATTTCACAGGCCTACTTAAAAGTTCTAAAGCTGGTTCTGGCCTACATCAGCATGCAGTCCTTGCTTATGTGCTAAAAGACTGAATTTCTCAACTGCCCTCTCCTGCTTTCTAACTGGAAGGATAATCTTTGGATCTGTTTCTACTTGTCCAAAGATACCTTTGGCGCAAAGTCTTATGACTAGATGAAGTACTGGGAACTGGTACTCAGAGCCGTAGTGGGGGTTGGAAGTCAAAGTAAGAGGTAGCCAAGAATATCTGGAGGTGAAATGATGAGTATAATTGCTTAGTTTTGAAAGAGTTGGCCTTTGCTGATATTTCCCAGAGGTTCCCTGTAGCATCTTGCTATCTTTAGACAGAAGAAAGAAAGTAAACTTTTATATCTATCCTGTCTCATAGAGCTGGAAGGGACCTTGAAAGGTTAACGAGTCCAGTCCCGTGCACTCACAGCAAGATCAACTGCCATCCCTGACAGATTTGTCCCAGATCCCTAAATGGCCCCCCTCAAGGGCTGAACTCAGAACTCTAGGTTTAGCAGGTCAGTGCTCAACCCATTGAGCTATGGGGGACTCCCAAGACAGCTGATTCCCCACTTATGCTGCATCCCCCACACTGCGCTTAAGCCTTTTAAATGTGTTAAGATTTAAGCAACCTTGGGCACTAACCTCGCTGGGGCTCTGCCTTTTATTGACTAGTCGATGGAAATTCCAACAACTAGTTGATTAAACATCCCTAGTCAGGTTTCCTACAGCATACCTGGGCTCCCTGAAAGGTTCTTACCACAGCTTGGCTTCAGATACCATCCTGGCTAGGGGGAGGAGCCTTGAGGAAAGAAGAGCAGGGCTTCTGTGTATCTCCCACTTTTGCCTTTTGAAAAGGTAGTCATCCTACTTGTCACACAGGTGACATGGTTTTCTGCATTCTACAATTCTGATCTCCACGCATGTTTCCCAAGAGCTATAACAATGTGCAACAAGAATTTGTCATTTTGTCATACCATTATTTGATAGAGTTGCTTTTTTTTATCTTAACATCCAAGACGGCACAGAGCTCTCGTCCTATACAATAATTAATATTCCATGATATCCTCAAACCTTAGCAGAACTAGTTAAGATTTATTGTCATTTTTACAGGGTAGTTTTTTGGTGTTCTACACAGTGCTAAATAAATTTAATAAAATTCAGAAGCAATGTGGCATAAGTTAGCAAAAAATAGCTATTAACTTTGCAACAGTTGTTTGATCTATATAACAGTACTTTATAGAGAACTCAAAATAGAGAGTGGCTAAAATTATTATTGTGATGCATTGGACACTTCTGGTGTGCCATCTTGATGTACTGGGGGCCCACTGGGCCCATGTATTCCACCAGATGGGGCTTCTCACTGTAGTTCCCGCTAAGCAGGGCTGGTCTTACCATGAGGCGAACTGAGTCAGCCACCTCAGGTGCCAGAGTGGGAGGGGTGCCATTAGGAACCAGAGTGTAGAAAATTGTGTCTGCTGCTGGTGCATATGTATTCTCTCTGTTCTAGATGCACAGAGATGGTGGAGTGCTGTGCTGGAGGAAGGAGGGCACAAGAGACAGAACAGGCAGGCAGGAGAAAAGGTGAAAAGGAATAACAGAAAGCAGCAGGAGCTGCAGCGAGAGAGGAGGAGGGGGAGGAAGAGCAGTACCATGAGAGGAGTAGAACGGGAAGAAGAAAGAATTGAGACCTTTCAAAGTTTTGGCCCAAGCGAGAGGGCATGGGGGCATCATTTGAACTCCCCGTGTCAGGTGCCAAAATGTTGTGGGCCAGCCTTGCTGCTAACGTGTGCCTGCATGGCCACGAACAAAAAATTCTTCCCCCACCCACCACCTCTGGAGAGCCATGCAGCAGCAGTCACGTGGCAGGAAGCTGCTCTGACAGGCAGGGCCGGCTGAGACAGTGTGGTGAGGGAGCCACTGGGGCAGAAGGCAGGGACCTGCCATGGCTGCGTGGTGGTGGGGGAGGCCTGCTCCAGTGGCTGGGGGTGCCCCGTGGTGGGAGGGGGGCAGGAGTGATACTTGTCCCGTGGGGGTGGGGAGCGTCTGCTCCATGGCCAGGAATAGGACATGCCAGGGTGGGGGGCGGGATCTGCTCCAGTGGCTGGGAATGGGACCTGCCACGTGACGGGGGGTGGTGTCTGGTCTGGCGGCTGGGAACAGGACATGCTGCATGGTGGGGGTGGTTCTGCTCCAGCCGCCAGGAACTTGTGTGTGTTAATAAATTGGGTGCCCTGGTGGCACACATCCAAACCAGCGCACATGACCGTGATATTAGTGCACAAGCCATAACTCTCACTTTCCATGGTTGGAAAATCTTAAAGAGAACACTGGACTTCTCACTCTGTCCTTACATAGGCACTCAGCTCTGTGTGGGAAGATTCAGCTTGAGGAATTGCCTGGCACTCTGGTGTCACAGCCTTTGCAGTGTAAGTTATATTGTCTTGCAATGTATAAATATATATCTTTACTGTGTAAACTCATGAAATGTGTCCCCTTCCTCTCTGGCTCTTTTTTTTTTTTTTTTTTTTTTTTTACTCCCCAAATGCACAGCTTCCCCTTGCTCCAGGTATGAATTGCACAAACTGGATTTTAAAATAAACAAAAAACAAATGGATTAGCCACAAAGATAATACCCCACCTTAGTTCCTTTGTTTCTTTAGGCTTCCTTTTCCAGGATTCTTCCTTCTTGGATGGGGAGGGGGTGGATAAAAATCAAGATTAATTCACTCCCCAGCCTTAAATAATATTTGCATATTACAGGAATCCTTTATTTCCCAGTGTGACACAGCCGCACACACACTTAATGAAAAATACACTAGAAGTCTTAGATGGTGTCCAATATCCAGTGCCATGATCTCTGACACTGCAGTGTCAAAGCAGCAGGAAACTTCTCAAGAAGGAAGGAGATTAGAATCTTTCAAGACCTATTGTCCTTCCCAGTAACCCATCCAGGCTTATTGTCTACTCTCTGGTGGACATTCCCCATGTGTAAATCCACAGTTTTGATTGGTACATAGTATTTATAATTTTAGATACAGAAATGTTACATGTATACAAATAGGTTATGATTTGATTAATATGATTATCCTAAGTGATACCTTACATGACCCGTCTTATATAAAATTTATTAGTTATGCCATATTCATAAAAGCATATCTCTATGAAGAATATACGGTATAGAGTCACACTTATAAATTAAACGTGACTCCCCAAACTGCAGCTAGCGTCCATTGCATGTACAAAATAGTATGATGTTCCCAATAAAATATTTCTACAAAGAAATTTTTGCAAGACCAATGAGGTCATTCTAGTTATCTTTTCTTAACATTACACCTCACCCTTACTCAACTCCTGAAATTAAGTGTTGCCTATCTAGTTCTTTGTAATCATAATGATTATTACCACTTTATCCATTTTAAAGAGACTTCGCTGTAGACCCTTTGATTTGTCAGCATTTGCTGCTTTGATTTAAGTCAGAGGGCACC